CATATATTATAAAAGCCTCCCTTAATCTTGGCTAATTCTCTTGTAAAAAGGGAGGGAAAAATCTGGAATATCTTGGCTTGAAAACAATTGTGGGAGAGATAATAAATACATTGCACTGGAGTAGCTTATTGATAGTGTTTACATTACAGTATTAAGTATTTGCACTAGCACGTAGAGTTGAATGTATAACAGTGAATCACATTTGGGATAGGCTGGACATGAATTAGAAAGACAAAAAGTTATAAAAGAAAGTTGCATGGTAATTCCAAACTTATTCCATTAGCAGGGTTGTTTGGGGAGTTTATAAAGCTTGAATCACTTTTTCAAAATTTTTGTGACTAAGAGAAGTCTCATGGTCTTGGGCTATTTTTGGCAGAGTTTCTACATCCAGCATTTGAAGCTATAGCACGTGGAGCTGGTCAGAATATTTTTTGTTGGGGGGCTACAGAAAATTTAAACAAAAATGAAAATGTTTCCACTTGCATCAAAATATTCAAATTATTTTTTTTTTACTTTTTGTCAAAAAAACTCGAACATTCTAAAGATTTTGGCAGCCAAACTGAATATTTTACCTGAAAACTGCCAAAAACTAAAAAAAATAAAAAGAATTCAGACAGTAGCTGCCAATCATTGGGGGAAAAAGCAAATAAAGGTTTTATGAAGATTTAAAAAAAAAAAAAACAAACCCCAGAAACTTTCTGCAAAAATATTCATTTTGTTGAAAACCCAATTTTACAAAAACCAACCAAACAAAAAACCCAGGTTCACAGAAAATTTTTGACCAGCCATAAAAAAACCTCTTTGGGATTTACAGCTTTTAAACATTCAGTGAAAATTTGGCCAGGGGACCCATGAACTCCTATGCATAATAAGATAACGTGAAATGAAATTCCTCATATCCAGAGTGCTTGTGATTTTAAAAAATATATTTAGTCACAAGTGACATTAATCCATTTGGCGAAAACTCTAATGTGCTTAAATCCTCCTTACTGAGTGTACATGTCAATGCAATCTTTTAGGCCATTTCCTACAGTCATTCTGCATATGGACATGCGAGGATATAGCCTGACACTGACTTCCTCTATAGTCTTCGGTAAGTTGCACACGAACATTTATTTCAGTTTATCTGTAGCACTAGGGTAAGTGTCCTTATTTATCTACTTCATTGGGGTCTTCTAAGATCCAGCAAATAAGTTAATGTTTATGAAGCTCTTTACATGGTAAATATTATTATTACCAGAATTAATTCATGCAGAAACATATCTAGAGAGTTAATACATGCAGAAATAAAACATGCTTAACACTGGCCGTGTGTTCACTAAAAAAAATCCTCCAGGCTTCTCTGCTTTGAAAGGTTGCAGATACTACCCTTGGTCAAGTGACTCAGGAGAAACCCAACAAAGTTATGTGAGTCTGTTTTCGCTGTCCTGGAGTTCGCTGGCTAGGGGAGGGGTAATCTCTGAGGAAGACTTCATGTAAATGTTCAGTTCAGTGTTTCTGACTGATTCAGAGGGGTGATAAACCTGTCCCTTTGGAGCTGTGTAAATAATGTTTGGAGAATGGCAGTAAATCTAGACAAAGGATGAACAAACTGCCATTGTAGCTATGTGCGTTGGGTTTGCACCTGTGGCTTGTAACAAGCAGAAAACATAGTTTTGTTAAGGGAAAAAAAAAAACAATTAACATGCTCCTCCCGTTTTTTCTCTCTCACTTTTATCATGGCCAATGTGACCTGTTCTGTGGATTGCTTTTTTTAAAGATGAGAGTCCTTTAAAGCTCTTCATTGCTCCTTCCCGTCAGTCTCAGAAATGCCACTTGTTCTCTATTGACATCAGCAGACTCTTTAAACACTCTGACTGGGCTGCTTACTAACCTTTTCCAGGAGTGATAACTCATAAAAGTAGTTCTTAATGTTCTTAATTTCAATGGCTCCTTACAATTCTCCCACATCAAAGATTCATGCTCCCTCCACCCCACCAACTAAACACTTATTAAAATTAATCAAAATGGTTTCCTCATCCCTGCTTCAGTCTTTGCAGGTTCTGATATGAAGGCTCACATAAAAAGCATACACCCTGGCTGGGCATTTTTTCAAGATTTTTTTGGCAGTTGCAAAATTGATCTGGGTGGTACCTTTAGACTGCCAGCTACAGTGATCTGTAGGGGGAGAATAAGTCAATTATTGTGCACTAGTTTGTTTATGTATGTATCTCTGTGTGTATGTGTGCACATGCGTGGATTGTAGTGTCCCAATGTATTATCCCCTGTATACTTTTTTAATACCTGGTGCAATCAGGTTCATTCCAAATTTTTAAGAACACCAATATTCAAAAGTGTCCAACGATCAGCGATAAAAATCAACCTTAGTGGATTGGGTTAGCATTGATGTAAATCAGGAGAAACTCCATTAAAGCCAATGGAGCTACACTGATGTAAAATCAGCATCAGGAAAAAGAGAATAAGGCACAACCTTTGTGTTTGTATGTTATTTATGTTTGTAGTTATTTATATTTACATCATTGTAATGCCTTGGCATTCAGCTTTCTGTTAAACAATTTAGAAAATTTTAACTTTGGCTGTTTTTGCTTTCCCCCTTTTCTCTTTTCCATTCTTTCACCCCTATTTTTCTTGCCTGCTGCACTACGTCTTGTATCTCCTCCACTATCTTTCAATCTCTGTTGTTCTCTTTCCTTCCCTGTATCTTAATCTACCTGGTTTCTCTTCCTCCTCCTTTCCCTGAATTCTATTTGCAACCTACCTCCCCCATGTCCTTTCAGGCTCTCCTTCCTTCTGTATCTCTTTTTCACCCAACAGTCTTCCTAAATATAATGGTTTCCATTTAAAAAGTTACCATTTACAAACAGTTACCATAGTTTTCCCCTGTTCTTAAAATAGGAATAAACATTGGTACCTCAGACCCTGCTGCGTGGTCATTATTGACAAATGGTAACAATATGAAGGTGACCCCTGTAAATGTATTACATTAGAAAATATGTATTACACTAGAAAGCATGCCTTATAGTGATAGACTCAAGGAGCTCAATCTATTTAGATTAACAAAGAGAAGGTTAAACGGTGAGCTGATTACAATCTATAAGTACCTATATGGGGAACAAATATTTAATAATGGGCTCGTTTATCCAGTGGAGAAAGATATAAAATGATCCAATGGTTACAAGTTGAACAAATTCAACTGGATATAAGGCATAAAATTTTAACAGTGAAAGTAATTAACCATTGGCATTATTTACCAAGTGTTGCGGTGGATTCTCCATCATGGACAATTTTAAATCAAGATTGGATGTTTTTCTAAAAAATGTACTCTAGGAATTATTTGGGGGAGTTCTATGGCTGTGTTACACAGGAGGTCAGACTAGATGATCACAATGGTCCCTTTCGGCCTTGGAATCTATGAATCTATGAAGTAGAGAAGTGCACAGTTTCAATGGGGTTCAGTGAGACCACTCATTGGGTAAGGTACTATTCAACATGAATAAGGATGTCACAATCTGGTCCAATTTATTTAATAAAGCCCACTAATGACACTTTATCTAGTCTGCCACAAACAAATATAGGAATTTCTACATTCATGAAATACAATTTACAGAATTTTAATGAAATTTTACTAAAAAGAATAAAAAGAAAACCCCACTATAAAATATGACTAGCCCCAAGATTACATCAAAGTATAGTGTCTGCTTACGTTTTACATATTAAATATCAGCAAAAATTAGTGTTCATTTCTCCATGATACCTCCAGATGGCATGAAAACTCTTCTCCTTTAAGTCTTTATTATAATATCTTTTTTTTTTAAAATGGTAACCATTGGAAGCATTCTATACCAACATACACTATTAACCATTCCCAACAATCACAGTATCAGAAGGCATAAAGCTGCTAGTGCTTCATTTATTAAACAAGTTTGACTAAATATAACATATTGTAATTACATTCTACAGCAAAATCTATAGGACAAACCATTCACAGACCATGTCAAATCTTTTTATCGATTCATTTCCAGAAGATTTTTACTATATATTTATGTCAGAAATCAAAACATTCAACAATCACACTTATTGTACCTTATTCTATGGCTACTTTTGGCCATGTAACAGATAGTGATACCTTGCAAGACTTACATGATCTAGCACTCTAAATTTAAATAACAAGAGCCAGAGGACACAAATTACAGACTCGATGCACTCTGAAATTCACATGACTGCACTGTGAAAAGAATTCCACTCCTACTCAAATGGGATAAAAAGGGTGAGTGATTTTGTAGCAATCCTCTCCTAACTGATGTGAGCGAAATCAAGTTTGCTGAGCTAGCCTGGGTTTTTTTGTTTTTTGTTTTAAACTTTGAGTCCCTCCGTTTGAAGAGTTGGTTTATTCTGGTAACAGTAAAATAGTTAATTCCCTTGTACACGGGGAAAAAACAGGGCGGGGGGACCTCTACTGTTGCATTAGAGTAAAGGTGAACACTGATATATTACAAGTGCCTATTCACATCTGTTTCTCAACTGCTTTTGTTAATTCAAAAACATCAACAAAATCGTGAGAGACCAGAGGTAGCTGTAATTGGATTTCAAGTAATTCAGAGGTGAAGTTGCAGACTGCAGTCTTTTAAAATTACATCAGTACATCAAAGGCAGATGTGACATGATATCTTCTGGAAAATGTGACAAACTTCTGCAGCTTCAAGGTAACATTGGACCTCTCCGGTTGTAAAAGCCAATCGCACTCACTCACTCCACCAAAAATAATTTAATATTTATTCAGCTTGTTACAGGGCCATCTCACTTTTCAAGATCTCTCACAGTAAGGATGCTAATGATTTATGAACAATTAACTATGAATCATTACTTAAAAGCTTTTTAAAGAACAGCATCAGTGAAAGAGCTTCATCTTAATGAAAACAAACAGACAAACACTATTTGGCATAACAACGCAGATTAAAATATAGCAATCATCTCTGATCACAAATATGAAACTGACTTACGATGTATGTGATGCACTGTTTTCTGGATTCTTTGGCTCAGCATCACCTTTCCCTTAAAAAAGAAGAAAAATAATATGAAAAATGGGTGAATATCAAAACCTTTATGGTGTTAGAGGTCAATACATTATCAGGCTAATTTTAACACTTTCAAAGTGTAGAGAAGAATGCTTTCTAAATATCATATGGCAGGTATCTGGGGCACTAACTGAGCACTTGCAAATTGGGAGTTAACATCAACATGACTTTTCCTGTCCCTTGTTTATGCGCTTAGGGGTAAGTAGTAAAGCAGGCCTGACAATTTCATGCCTAGCAGATCCCTAGCAAGAAGGCAGGAAACTCTGTAAGACTGGCCACTTGCAGGACAGGACAGAAGGACAGAATACCTTGGGGCCTTAGTCACTATAGGCCTGAAATGACAGATCAGTCTGCAGGGTTTTGGGATCCCTTCCCTCCCCAACACCCCCCAAAAAACAAACAAACAGTTTGATTCACTTTATTTGCTGTGAATACTGCTCTCTGAACAACCTGAGGAACCCCAGTGTTAGACAGTCCCTAGTCCTAACATAGCCATGCAGGGTAGACAGCCATAGTTGGGCTACCCAGAACTCGACTTTGAGGTCTGTGCAGATCACTGTGTCTGTGCAGCTCTGCTTTGTAAGCAAGCAGGTGTGGAGAAGGCAGAGAGGCTCAGGGAGCAGATGGATCCATGGCTCTTTTCCTTCCTGCCCTCAAGTGCTCCCCAGAAGAGCTGTCTGGAACCACTGTGGGAACTAAGATGCACCTTTTCAGTGCCACAGTAAATTACTTCCTCTTACTTGTACATAAAGAGAGGCCCACAATTCTACCTGGGTCCCCTCCCAAGACAATGGTCACATATGCTGCCCCTTACACAGAGGTGTGGGTCACTGCCCTAATCTAGCAGCCATTAAGGAGAAACATGGTTGGTCTGAAAGCCTTGAGAGGGTTGGATTTTTGTTTTTGATATTGTACCACCTTGCTTACACCATTTATAATCTGAGTGCAAAATATTGTTTCTGTGCTAGCCAACGGCCCAGGCACTTGTTTACCCGTGGACACTGAAATGCTGTTTACATGCAAGTTTGTGATAATCAGGAGATGAAAAGCTGGAGTGTGACTATCTTACAGATGGGACCAGTGTTTTTCCATTCAGTTTTAATGAGTTTTGTCAAATCAAAATTCATTTGTATTCTGTGAAATAATGTTTGAAATTGTTTCAGTGTTTTCTTGTGTGTAGTGCCTGATTTACACCCATTGAACTCAATGGAAAATCTCTAATTGACTTCAAAGGGCTTTGGACCGAGCCCCAGGACATTACAAGAACTTCAGTGTTACATACTAATAGCTGTTGCCAAAGTTCTCAAGTTTGATTTCCACTAAATCAAAGGTGGAAAAACTTGGGGTATGAAATGAACCTCTGGGGAGAAATACTGGTCCCTTTGAAGTTAATGGGAGGTTTGCCATTGACTTAAATGGATTTCATTCCTGGTACTTTCCCCAGTGCAATCCTGAAACAAGCTGAAATAGTTGCTCAAACTAATTATGCTTCTAGGAGCAGGGGTCCAGCAAAGGAGCCTTTGGTTAGCTTACACACTTATTCCATGATGTGTTGGTACCTGCATCAGATGTTTCTAGGCCTTCTAGGCTTGCAGGGAGGGTTTCACCGAAACATTGCTTACCTTTGGGAAGGAGGGGAAAAAATCAGTAGTTCTTATCACCAATTAGCCTTTGAAATCAGACCCACAATTTTAAACTAATTGGAAGGACTGGCATGAAGCTAGTCATATCTATTTTTATCAAACGTTTGCTACACACAGAATGATTACAAGATAACTTTTATATTTTATGTAATTACATTGTGCCTTCAAAAATTAATTAAGGCTCAACACCCTATGAGCCCATTTTAGAGACTTGATTATGAGAAAGAGCTGTTGAAGGAGTTACTCAATATCACACAGTGAATTAGTATCTGGGACAAACATTAGAACTCAGAAATCCTGACTCCCAGTTCTAACTATTAGATGCCTTCTCCACACAGTTGCTTTAATTAAAATATAAGTACCTGTGGCATCATTTTCTCCCAAAGAAAATAGGGTTATTATGGGGTGGGGTGGGGAGAGATAAGTTCTGAGTATTTGGTTGTGACTAGACATAGACCAGAGGTGAAGTGCAAATTTGAATCCAAAACTCTCACGTCTTGTGGTGTTTAGATTCAGTTGTCGAGTTGCAGCTGGGAAATTTGGGTCTGGCTCTGAATTTCCCAAAGTTCAGGCGGGGTTTGGAGATGTTGTTCTGGTTTAGTTCCATGGCTAGTTGTGCCCCTTATGCCTGTCACTGGATATAAGGCACATAGACTGGCTTAGCAACAATCTGCCTTGAAATATCGGTCAGTACCATATCTACATCCGAAAACAAATAATAGTTCATCATAGATATTCTATTTGTAACTAATACTTTTGTTAATAACACATTAGTACAGTGAGCATTGGCGGTTTCACGTGCAAATGGGATGTGAGACTCTGAGTGATGACTTGGCAGTTTGTTCTGCTCCAGTTGGAAAAGCTGAAGTATTTTAGTTCTGCTCTTAGCAGCAATTAGTGTTGTGGCAATAAGGAAAGCAGAATAGGTTCTGTTGCAGGGATGATATTTAGCTAAACAGGATATTAATAAATTACTCTACGGTGAATGTTTGCAGCTGCTTTAATGCTCACAATCACTTAACATTTCAGGGGGAAGGGAGAGCAATTGTACAGTATATAAGAGTAAGAGGGAGAATGGAGAATTAATGCCTTACTGACTCCACAGAAAGAGAACTGAACCATTACTCCAATGAGCCATAGAAATTCAAGAAAAAATTTATTTACTAAGCATGAATGAGATTTAAAGATTTGGAATTCAGATTCAGTTTGACAAGCCTAGTAAAAGGGTGTTGCTTCTCTGAGCTACCTGACCTGTTTGAGCCCACTCTTATCCACACTCTGTCTTCCAAGTCTTCACACAAACTGCCATAACCAATGTGCCCTTGTCTCCCCTTAGTTGAAGGCACTATTATGGGGGACAGGCAATTCAGCAACCAGCTAATCCTCTTTAGCTCCAGGTATCATTCTCTGGGCAGGTTATGAGACCCTTTCCATCCTCCACCTCAGTCTTTTGAAGCTGGCCAGGAGTCCCACTAGATGCCCTACTTCTTTTGCAAGCCTGCTGCTGGTCTGCTCTCTTCCAAAAGATTGATCTTCTGGTGCATGTGCGTATGGATGAAGGCCTTCTAGCCCCAGTTTTTCAGCTGTAGACCTGGCTGGTTTCTGCTGCTTCCCACTGAACTGGCTCTTTTAACATTTCACATTCTAAGGGTGGAATGACCCAGAGCACAAAGGCCAATTTCAAATCCACTTTCTTGAAGGGGTGGGGAGATAAATTGAGACTGGCTCATTGAATCAGGCAGGCACAGAGCAGCGCCAAGACAAATGCTGTCCCGGACTCATTCAGCCTGAGACTGGGACTTGAACTCTGCATTTTGGGACTGTTCTGTCCAATTGGGGATGGGTGGTCACCCTAGCTAGACCACAATCCCCAAAATACAAGGAAAAATAAAGCAAGACACCCAGGCAGGTGGTCAATCAAAATCATGAAACAGTTAAGTCATGAACACCGAGTTCAGAGAGCAGGAACCAGGAAGCAAACAGGAAACGGAAGAGGGAGCAGGAAACAAGATGCAAGAAGGCAGCATACACAATTTCAATCAATCACCACAATTTCCTTCTTTTTTCCCCCAAAGTTCAGCGGTACTTTGCCAGAGGCAGCTGGTGATCCCGGGGCTGTAGGTTATACCTCTGATTGAGATTAGGGGCTGGATACTATTGATGTGGCACAGCTTCCTTAATCTGCCACATATCATCATACAGAAAAGAGTGTCCTCTTCCCTATCTGTTTTCCTTTCAGTAGGAAGTATATCTTCTTGGTTAACAATATGTTCTCTGTGTGGTAAACACACTCGCCACGTTCCGTACTCTGCAGCCCGCAAGATCATGCCATGACTAATGAAAATACTTCCAGCCCATCACCTAACATACACTGCTTGTCTAGGATAGAATGTGTGGAGTCTTGTGTGGATATGCTTGTTGAAAGTCGTATACTTCTTAGTCACATCAGTTGGCTTTGAGGATGGCAAAGGGGTGGGATGAGCCTCTTCCATCAGCATAGACAACTTGGTGCTCAGAGGTCAGTTGAACAGCCAGTAGAATGGGGTTTCTCCAGTATTTTCATGAGTGTACTCCAAATAACATATAAAGCATAACTCAGTGCAATATGTAAGAGTATATCTAGAAATCCCTGCAGTATGCTAGCTACACACTTCTTCAGAGTCCACTATGCCATTTCCTTGGGGATGGTACCCAGCAGATTTATAATGTGCTGTACTAATACTCATCAGAAAGTCTTCAAACTCTCTTGGTAGAAAAGGTGTCTCATTCTGAAACAAGGCTCTCTGGTAGGCCAAACATTGCAAATAAAGTGGTTAGGAGAGAATTTAGCTCCTCAGAGGTAGGTGCCTTGTGAAATTATGAATACAAAAGAGTAACGTGAGTAATAGTCTATAACAGCATCTTTTGCAATATTGCACTTGGCCACATTCAACTTTATGCCAGCTTGTTGGGGTCAGGTTAGCACTTGGTCCAGAATGGCATTATGTACAGGAAGGGTCTTAGCAAAGATGAGAATGTCATCCAGATAACAACATGCACCCTGGCAGAGGTAGAGATGGAATGGCCACTTGAATGGTCCCTTACAATATGTGCTAACTACATATGCTAAACAATCTGATCCACTTTGCATTTTGCTGTGAAGCTGGGAACTCCTTTGCCAGACCTGAAGAAGAGCTCTGTGTGGCTTAAAAGCTTGTCTCTCTCATCAACAGAAGTTGGTCCAATAAAAGATATCACCTCTCCCACTTTGTCTCTCTAAAATCTGTGCACAGTCAAATGTTGCCCTTCTTCTTGTATATTGTCACCCATAGGCGAAATTCAATCCACAGGCCCTTCCACCTCCCGAATGAAGCCATTATCTTTCACGTGTTGCAATTCTGTTCAGATCTTGTCCATAAGTGCAGGAGGTACATGATTTGCAGGCAGTGCAAAGGGCTTGGTGTTCAAATCCAACAGCAGAGACAATGGATATCCCACGCACAGAACACTGTCACTGTTAAACAAATCATGGTGTCTCTGAATGATACGTTGGGTATCCCCTTCTACTCTAGCTATTCTATTCTAGCTGACATAACTACTCCTCAGGTGTCCTGTGTAAGTACATGCATAATACCAAGGTGCAAGCACACATCATATGATTATAATGGAAAAGGATTTGCAGTAGCAGCACCTTTAAAAATGTTAAACTTTGCAGTCAAGGCTACGCCTCTGTAGAGCACAGAGCATAGAGCTTCACCCATTGTCTGCAAATCATACAAATTCCAAGCTTTTATTACCACTGTAGTCAGGCAAATATCTAAATTATGAACTAACCCAGAGGGGAAAACGTTAACTTCAGAACCCCTATCCACCAAGCACTTCAGCAGTGTACCATTACAATACGGGATTCCAGCTCCAGCGCCTTGCTGCTTGAGGAGATTGTACTAAAGGAAACATCTGGTCCCTGGTAAAAATGATTTTGTGCGGGTCTACATTTACAGTATGCACTGAAGGCTTCCCGTCTTCATGAACCAGTGTACAGTGGCAGACTAACTCAAAGCATCCTTCCTTCTCATGAGTCTGGCACACAGCAATTCTGGCTGGGCAGGCAGGGAAATTGGCCAAGTGACCTGTATTACCACAGCAGAAACAGTGAGGAGCTGGCAACTTTTGCTGCTGAGGCCATGGAGCAGGAGTAGGTAGCGTTGTATGACCCTGGGCAATGGAAGCAGGAGAACCAGCTAATGGGGATTTAAGTGTAGACACAAAGGTAGCAGCAATCTGAGACATTCCAGCCCAAACCCTCTCAGCTGCCTCACTCTTAGTTACTGTGGCTTTAAATGTTAGAGTTCTAACATCTTCAGCCAGTGACCATTTGCTCAGACAGTCACTGGCTATGCCAATCACAAAAATGTCACAAAAATGAGCTTGATCATCATAACTTCCCTGAATTCACAGTCAAGAGCCAACTGCCACAAATGACATGCAAACTAACATATTGTTTTGTTGGGCTGCTGGCGAGTTTAAAAAAAAACACATTTTCCTTTTTAACAGAACAGAAGCTCCATTCACAACATATTTGTTGAGAAGCTGGACGACACATCAAAGGAAGGCTTGGGCTCTTTGAGTCCATCATAAATATCAATGCCATCACAACCTAAGCAGTTCTGCAGCAAGGGTAATCTAGTAGCATCAGAGAGCTGCAGGATCTGCACATAGTTCCAGAAATTCTGAATAAAGTATCGCCAGTCAACAGCTGAAGAATGTGCAGGTGGCATGAGTAGCAGAATAGAAGCATAATTTTATGCTCTGATGCGTCCCAGAATACAATCCCCAAAACACAAGGAAAATGAAGCAAGAGGCACAGATAGATGGTCAATCAAAACATGTAATAACTATGAGACGGTTAAGTCAGCAACAGTCTGAACAAAACATAACAGTCCCCAATGACAGATATGTAGCAGCAGGCGCCGAGTAACTGCACACACCCAACACCAGGCACACACCCCCACCACTACTCCCAGAAGAACAGGAACTGGAATATTGAGTTCAGGGAGCAGGAACCAGGAAACAAACAGGAATATGGAGCAGGAAGCAAGGAGCAGGAAAACAACACACATAGACACCAGTCAGCGCAGTAATGAAACTTATTAATGTTTGTAAAGTGCTTTGAGATCCTTGTATGGAAGACACTACAGAAGTGCAAAATTATTAGTTTTTGTGGGAAAGGTGGCAGGGGCGCCATTACAGATTTTGGGGAGAGGGGCAACTTTAACCGTGATTCCAGGGGCTTCTTAGGCACCTGAAAACTCTAGTCTTTTGGCAGATAACAGCAATTAGCTGACAGGAGCACCGTATCTAATTCCTATATAAAAGAAAGAAAATTAAATAAATATTAGACCCACTCACCTCTAATACTAACATGTTCTGACATCTTGTGGCAAGTCACCTAAGGGACACTGGTTAGGCTTAAAATCTTAATGTATATTCTTACTTTGTTACTAACTCTGCGGAGAGAGAGACCCCATCAGGACTCCTGGGTTCTATCTAAGCTCTGGGAGGGCAGTGGAGTCTAGTGGGCTACAGTGGGGGGTAGATACATCTGGGATTTATATAAGAACATCAGAATGGCCATACTGGGTCAGACCAAAGGTCCATCTAGCCCAGAATCCTGTCTTCCAACACTGGCCAACGCCAGGTGCTTCAGGGGGAATGAACAGAACAGGCAATCATTGAGTGATTCATCCTGTTGCTCATTCCCAGCTTCTGGCAAAGAGAGGCCAGAGACACCATCCTGGCTAATAGCTATTGATGGACCTGTCCTCCATGTACTTATCTAGTTCTTTTTTGAACCAGCTTACAGTTTTGGTCTTCACAACATCCCCTGGCAAAGAGTTCCAAGGGTTGATTGTGAAGAAACATTTCCTTTTGTTTCTTTTAAACCTGTTGCCTATTAATTTTATTGGGTGACCCCTAAAGTTATTGTGTTATGTGAAGGAGTAAACAACATTTCTTTATTCAATTTTTCGACACCATTCATGATTTTATAGATCTCCATCATATTCCCACTTACTCACCTCTTTTCCAAGCTGAAAAGTCCCAGTCTTATTAATCTCTCCTCATATGGCAGCCATTCCATACCCCTAATAATTTTTGTTGCCCTTCTTTGTACCATTTCCAAATCCAATATATCTTTTTTGAGATGGGGTGACCACATATGCATGCAGTATTCAAGATGTGGGCGTACCATGGATTTATATAGAGGCAATATGATATTTTCTGTTTTGTTATCTATCCCTTTCCTAATGATTCCCAACATTCCATTAGCTTTTTTGACTGCCACTACACATTGAGCGGATGTTTTCAGAGAACTATCCACAGTGACTCCAAGATCTTTTTCTTTACGGGTAACAGCTAATTTAGACCCCATCATTTCATATGTACAGCTGGGAGTATATTTTGCCATGTGCATTACTTTGCATTTATCAACATGGAATTTCATCTGCCATTTTGTTGTCCAGTTATCCAGTTTTGTGAGATCCCTTTGCAACTCTTTGCAGTCAGCTTTGGACTTAAGTAGCTTGAGTAATTTTGTATCATCTGCAAATTTTGACACCTCACTGTTTACCCCTTTTTTTCAGATCATTTATGAATATGTTGAACAGCACTGGTCCCGGTACAGACCCCTGAGGGACACCACTACTTACCTCTCTTCATTCTGAAAACTGATCTTTTATTCCTACCCTTTGTTTCCTATTTTTTAACTGGAGTGCCTTGCAATGCTTTCAGGATCGTCTAATGATCCTTAATTTAATTTAATGACAAGCCCTTTGTTATCTTAATCACCCTGCCTCTGTTTATAAACAAACTCCCTGCCCCAAGGGCGGAAGCTGAGAGCAGCACAGAACTCATCACATTCCACTCTCAAGCTCCCTCTGGGGCTAGGGCATGCACTATGAGCAGACCTCTAGTATGAAACTCAGGAAGGTGCAGTAGCCTCTCCCCAAAATGGTGCCATTTAATAGCTGGAGTCAAAATATCCTTCATGACAAACTTCACACAGACCACTCCCAAAATAGACCTGCTGATATTGAGGCTATCAGCTTACTGAGACACTAAAGACTTCCAACCAGGTAAAGCAGGATAGGGGCCATGTTGACACCTCCCTCACAGGGAGCCATTTGTTACAATTTCCCAAAACCTCCAAACAAGCTTGCAGTTTCAATAAACCATAGGAAAACGACGACCAATGCTAGGCATTCTGATGTCATCACAAACCACTCAAGCTCTGCTCTAGTGTTTATTATGCTCAGACTTCCTCAAGTGTTTGCACAGCCTTATCTATTATGGCTCTTTAGTGCTTCCTTCTCTCATGACTGCATTCATTATTTTTTTTAGAGAACCTCATCCGTTTGCCTTTTTATTACTTCCTTAGTGCTGGTGCTCACAGCAATATCAAACTTATGCTGGCAATTAAGTGGCACCACCCCCTCCTTGTTCACAACATCGTCTTCCACAGTGCTGCCCCTTCCTTAGCAAAGGTACCGTATAAATAGCCTGAAGTCTCCTAGCCTTCTCCCTCTGGGTGTCTGCTTCCTGCACCCAGTGGGTGACCAGTCAGTTTCAAAGCCAAGTCTACTGGCTCAGAGCATTTGTCATCTTCAAACCCAGCTTTGTAATTTGCATAGTGCTCTGTTTTAGCTCACAGGTCATGAAGCTAACAAAACTGAGCTCTTGGTTGGGATGCTTTGATGTCATGAACAGGATAGGGTCATGTATTTTGAATATGCTGGAGAACATTAATACCAGTCATGGGTGTCAGAAGAGAGGATTAATACTTCGTTTCATAGAACAATTCAATCTTTTCTTTCCACACAGCCACTAAAGTGTTTTACCCATAACTAAATGTAATTAAAGTAAAACTGCTTTGTAACATGGCCTGTACACTTTAGTAGGAGGACAGGCAAGGATGTGAGCAAAGCAAGTTCCATACTCACCATCCTTGCCAAAATTATACACCAAAGGCAGCCAAAAACTATAGGCTCTTCGAGGCAGCATTTGTTATTGTTTTGGCATACTTCATGTATTATATAGCACCATATACAGTGACAGTGCATATAAATAAATAAAAAAAGTAATAAAGCAAACTCTCTGAAATTTTAGGCAGTTTGGAGGTTGGGGTTGTGTGCACATTTGTATGTGGATACAAAGTTTCCACCCACTTCCTATCATTTTAGAAGCGCAATTATTTTTTCCTGTAAAATCTGTCTCACATACAGCAGAACTAGGTATGATGGAGCAAATTGTTCCTTCCATTGCCAATCTAAAGGGATTGTTCCCTTCCCCGCTATAGGCCGTTAGTGATTGTGATGCCTAAGGTTCTGCACTTGAACAAAACAGTAGCCTGCCAGCTGAGATCCTGTACTGGACCAAGAGGCTTCATGTTTCCACTATTTTTTTTTCTCAACTGTCCTATTGTTCACTTGTTTCTCACATTCCCAGTCAGCGTCTCCACCAAATGCAGCTGTAAAGTGAGGTAATTCTTACTTGGATTGCTGTGTCCTGTAGACACCTGCTGCGACTCCTAAAATAATAAAGAAAAGCATACCATGTATTATTTTTTTGGGTAATTTTTAGAGACAAAATTGTAAGTTACCTTAATACTACTATACAGCTTTGTTAATCATTCATTCAGTCTAATCGCAGAACATCATTTCCAACTATAAGAAGAAAATCAAATATTTCCTTGAAAATGCATTTACTCTAGGCTTTTTATACTTATCTCTCAACCATGACCCTTTAATAGTATATTTTTTCTATTGTCACTATCAATCTCCAGCTTATTATTCACTTATTACTCCACCAGAACTCAAGGGGCTATTACTTTCTACCAGGCTAGGTGAGAAGACAGACAGGCAGACAAATGATTATTTCTGAAGTTCTTGCCAATATCATTTCATAGGCCATCAGATTGTTCTGGGAGCAGCACAGCTAATCTTCTCTCCTCACCTCGAGGATCCCAAGTGTTGCGTCCATAATGGATCAGGAAATTGATACTCACAGCATTAGAGAATGGAAGTTTCGACCCTACTCCTGAGCCTAGTTCTATTAGCTACTAGACATACTGAAATATTAGGTTAAAATAAAAACCAAACTAAATCAACACCTAGTTTTCAAACATAGTCTTGGTACAGTATCTCTGTATTCTCAAGCTAGTCTTCAGTGGCCCAGCAGACACATATGTATCAAAAGTGGTTTTGTAACTGAACTTCACAAAAGCACCTAAAACATTTCTAGTGAAACATTTAGAACATTTTTGAAAAAACACTGATAGTCTGCCTTGCATTAAGTCTTCCACATAGGTTTGTTCAAACTGGTTTTGTTTTAAATAATTCATTGCAATTATGGGCTGTTTTTAGACTTGATATATGAAAAAGATTGTAATGTACCATACATACTAACATTATATTGGTACTGTAGATATATTATTTATGGACTCTTGTTCTTTAGATGCCTCCTACAATAGCTAAAGATGGAATCTCAGTTACCATAAACATGGTAAAGCACTTATATCATGAAATTTTCAGTTTAGCAATTTCTCCAAAAATACTTTGAGCACCTTGGACTGCACCAGCAAGACTTTTTAACAAACATTTAGTCAACTTCATGGTTCAAAATCATTTCAAGTTTTTCCACCCTTGGTTTTTTAAAATAATAAAAGTCAAGTATCTCTGTCACTCAGGCTAGCCATCACTGGGTGGCTAAGCCACAAGAGAAATGGATTATGAACTAGTTCAGGGAGGGCATTCTATACATATCTCCAATTATGTACGGAATAAATAAACTTTATAATACTATACTATTTATTGTGCAGCTGCAATTATGACAATAAAGACAGCGACATTGACAGAATAGGCGTATATACCAATAAATACATTATTTTCAAGGCAGAAAGATTTTCAGCTAAAACCTTGGTCCTAAGGGCAGTATTGAGCCAACGGACGGGCTTAAGGCAATAGAAAACTATTTTTTATTTCCTGGCTAAATATGTCTTTAAGCTGCAGTTATGTCTGTAAACCTTTATTAATTATTTAAGAAAAAAAGCAATTGAGAAGTTTATAGTTTTCCTAAAAAGCAAAAACATGAAGAAGCCTAGACATTTAAATTTAAAGTTACTGAAACAGAATGAAAAATACAGAAATTCAGTTAAAGTAACCCAAATAAACCTAGCTCTTTCCGTATCCCTTGCCACCATGGATCTCTTCTTTCCTTCTCCCCAGCTACTGTAGATTTGGATAGGATTTTTTTTTATGGCAATCTTAAATCCACTAAGGACCTGATCATGCTTCATTCAAATCAATGAGAGTTTTTCCATTGAGCTGAATGGGAGCATCGTCAGACTGATAAAGGCTTAATCCCATAGCACTTCTCAGCAACTTCAATTTGCAATTAAGCCAGGGTCATTGAATTGGGGGCATTCAGAATCTTGAAGGGTCAGATCTTAAATCCACTCTATCTTTGTAAGTTGCCTGTGGAGTCAGAGATCTCCAGACTGCATGGCTTTGATTTGGAATTTGCATGTCTACAATACGCATCTGTTATTCACTGCCATTCTACATGCCGGAAATGACCTCACCACACATTAAGTGGTGGGGATCTTTGACTGGCTTGTCAGAGAGGAAAGGAGTACTTGTGGCACCTTAGAGACTAACAAATTTATTTGAGCCACAAGTACTCCTTTTCTTTTTGCGAATACAGACTAACATGGCTGCTACTCTGAAACTTGTCAGAGAGGGTGTGTTGCCCCTTTAAGGGAGACTAGAGAGCCAGAGACTTACCTGCCACATGGAGGCAGCTCCATACCATTCAGGATGCTGACCCATCCCCCCAGGTGACCAGAAGAGAAGGGAACAATTTATTATTTATGCCCATGTCTTTGCAGTAAAAGCCCTCTTTTCACCTGGACCAGGCTGGGCAGATGCTTAATTTTTGTCCTGTTCTAAGAGGTTTATAGAGCCATATATATAAGCTACAATCTATGCTACATCTCATAGTATGGCAACACTTTTTCACACTTTAAACTATTTACTTTGGGGGAACTGCCCCACCTATGATCCCTTCTGATGAAGAGATACAAAAGCCTGCATCCTTTTGTCTTTTTGAGTATAATCTAAAAAAAAAGGAGGAGCAGTTTGCTGTAGTGATGTGATGACAGGTACAGTTGAATTTAAATGCTACTCTAGCATACAATCAAACTGTCTACCTTTCTAGGCATCATTTTTTTTCAAATCTTAAAAGCAATTATATTTGGTAAAGGTGAGTCATTCACATCTGCAGTTCTTTTCTAATTCACCCATTCTAGCTTTTTAAAATTAACAAGAATAAAAGAATAATTAACTGACCACCATAAAGATGAGATGACACGAACATTTAAAGCTTCTGTTAAGAATGTCCATGCACAACACTTGTGAAAATGGAATGGTTTTCTGAAAGTGGAGAAACTGCTGCCCAGACACCACAATGATTGGTGACCTCATACAATCATACATAGCTACATGGAAATGGAGTACCTGCTCTGCTTTTTGAGACATACGAAATCACTGTAAAAATGAAGGAAAAGAGCCATGCAATCACCAGAATTTACTGCATCCTCTTTTCACACAACAGAGTAGAGACTACATGAACATGAAAGCTCTTTCTCACAAGCAACAAGCATGTTCTTATTTATCAGATTTAATTATTCACTTAAACTTTATTAAAATGTTTGTAATAAAATTGCAATACAATAATGTGTGATCATTTGTACCTAACAAAGTCTCACAGAGATAGTAGAGTGAAAAGCATATATATGTACTGTGTCATATATATGCATTGATACAATTATCTTTAAGATTTGAAAAATGAGAAATAAAGGGACTCACACAGCCCCTTTCTAGTAAATTTAGGAGTACAGATTAATCCCACAGAGAACGAAAATTCAAAATAAAGGATAAAATGGACCTTTATACCCCCTACTAGGTAAAGGGATGTTTCTGGTCTGCTTTCTTTAAGGAGGATGGAGGATGTCCTTTAATGGAGGATGTCCAGTACAGTTTGCATATTTCAAATTTGACACTGAATTTCCTATCCTTATGGATCTTTAACATTAATGTAGGTTTAATTTTTTTGCTGTATATACAGTATATATATATACTTAATTACAGTATATATATATACTTGCTGCCTTCCCTCCGAATCCTCAGTTCATTTCCTTGGACCATTTCCCCATGGCCCCCAGCACCTTCTTTGCCCTTACGTCAGAGCTTCAGCCTGCCAGTCTTAGCAGCTAGCCAGGAGCTCTCTCTAGCTTCCCCAGTCGCTGCTGGCAGCACTGCTCTGCCCAGGGTGCTGGCACTCTTTCCTCCTGCTAGGAACCTAACTTTCCCTCCTCCAGCTCCAGGCAGTTACTGAAGTTGCTCTGCCCTGCAGCCCTTCTTATATGGGCCTGCCAGGCCCTGACTGGCTGTTCCTTGCAGCCCCTCTCCTATTGACTGCTTTCTGCACAGCCTCCCTAGGACTCTATTAACACCTTACAGGACAGTGTGGGGCAAATGCCCCATCAAAGGGTGCCTCTGGTGGACCACAAGGGGGAAATACAGGTGTGATTGCCCTGAACTGTGACACCAACCTTCTTTAGTTACCATGAGCCCACTGTACAGGCTTCAGAGGGAAAGAAAATTATAATCATATAGCCAAGAAACCTTTAAGATTTTCCTACAGGGAAATAGCTTTTCAGTGGATAATAATGTTGTAATTTTTAACAATCAGGGATTAAAACAAATTGCAAAGTCCAATTGCAAAAGGAAAAAAAGGCAATATTTATGTGACACGATGCTTTTTTTTAAAAATGGCATTTATTTGAAGCTGATCAGAGGTTTGGAACATTAAAATAAGTCCTATGGGAGATGAATTAGAGGCCTGCAGCAGGGGAGGTGGTTAGAGATGCAAAAATAATATACACATGGCTCTGCAATTTATCACATTGCTATCACCACCTCGTGTGTGTGTGTGTGTGTGTGTGTATGTGTGTGCACAGTATGTGTGTATGTAGGTGAAATAGCTCTTCCTCATGTATAAAGACATAAATTGTTGAGCCATATGTTATATTGCAGAGCCATGTGAATACTGATGTTATCATTCACCTCTGACCTTCTCATTTACCCTCTGCCTCCTAATGCATTTCCCTGGGACTTATTCTAACATTCGAAACACATGAGCAACTTCAAAGAGCCACCATTTATTTTAAAATCAACCTGTCAAGAAATGTTTCTTCCTTCTCCCACCATAGTGGAATTTCATCCATAAAAAGTTATACCTGCCCCAGGCCTAGGATGGGCAAGGTTATTTTGTCCTGGACCAGTGACAAGTTTTCTATATATAAAAAGTCACAACTGTGAAGTCCATTATCTCACAACTCTGCCTGGATAGAAATGGGAGCTTTATATGGTGCATTGGGAACGGGAGATGCCCAGTGAGACCCAATACTGACCTGATTCCTGGAAAGGGCCCAAGATACTGAACTTTAACTCATGACATTTTTAGGTATAGAAAAGATACTTTAAATCATTTTAAGGCATTTCTATGGCGGACTCTGAGCCTCCATAGTTACGTTCTAACTAAGGCATCTGTTTTGCAGGCTCAGAAATAGAGTGGTTTAAATACTATTTTTAAAGTTTCTAAACTAGTTATTTTTATAACTCTAACATATGTGACATACGCATGATCAGACAATGGTCTTGTGTAGTATAAAGGTTTTATTAGCATTCATTTGGGATAACCTTCATGATTCACTAGAGGCTTCCCCATTCTTGAGCAGTGTGACTATCCCAAATTCATGTTGATAAAACATTTATAACCATACCAGATCACTATGGATTACTCACACACAAGTGCCTGGCAATCTAAAAGTAACACAAGGGCAAGTGAGGGATCTAAATTCAGGATATAATCTTTGTTGCTTACTTCCAGGCAAATATACAGGGACTGGGATGCTGAAGGTAGTTTGTTCATTCTCTGTGGGAATCGTGTGAGACCAGCACAGCTCATTTTTAGTGACTCTTCCAGCCAACTCAAGGCACAGTATTGACGGACTCCAGAGGAAGAAGTAACATACCAACCCTCTTCAGCACAGGGAATGTCACTGTGGCCAAGGGTATTTGTGAGTTGGGGAAGGGAAAACGTAGAGGGATCCCCAGCATAGTTGTGGACTTGGAGGACTCCTGCCTTCTTGAAAGGCTACAAAGTATTTTTGCTCATTCTTTCCATAAAAATAGAATATCAGCATAATTAATTCTAACACATACTGAACTACTTTTAACCTATGTCTTAACTAATTAGTGATTTGACAACTTGAGACTTGCAATTTCTTAATTAGGCTATTAAAGTTTCAGGGGTTATCAAAATCGCAGCCAGGCTGGATTTGGAATCATTCTAGAAATTAAAGTTAAATAACTAGATTTTAAATATGATTATTAAATATATATATATTGTGACAGGGTTGGGCCAGATGGCTATAGGAGAGTAATAGAAGGCAGATATATTAGCCCCAGACTAAGTAGGTCCCTTTTCCCTGAGTAAGGTAACAGGGAAGGTTCCAGAACAATCAGGAACCTTCTGGAGACAATTAAGACAGGCTGATTAGAACACCTGCAGCCAATCAAGAAGCTGCTAGAATCAATAAGGCAGGCTAATCAGGGCACCTGGGTTTTAAAAAGGAGCTCACTTCAGTTTGTGGTGTGCGTGTGAGGAGCTGGGAGCAAGAGGCACTAGAAGCTGAGAGTGAGAATGCGGACTGTTGGAGGACTGAGGTGTACAAGCATTATCAGACACCAGGAGGAAGGTCCTATGGTGAGGATAAAGAAGGTGTTGGGAGGAGGCCATGGGGAAGTAGCCCAGGGAGTTGTAGCTGTCACACAGCTGTTCCAGGCGGCACTCTCGACAGTTGCATTCCACAGGGCCCTGGGCTGGAACCCGGAGTAGAGGGCGGGCCCGGGTTCCCCCCGAATCCTCCCAACTCCTGGTCAGACACAGGAGTCATCGATCTGGACTGTGGGTTCAGAAAAACAGCCAAACTGAGGGCTGCCATGAAGCTCCAAGGCGAGCAAATCCGCCAGTAAGTGCAAGACCCACCAAGGTAGAGCAGGAACTTTGTCACAATATATATTGTCGCAACCATCTACAGGGTCCCAGAGTAACGGGTTGCCCCGGGGCCCTTCACCACTGAGGAACTGGCCAGACAATGGGTTGCAGTCACCACTGAGGGAAGTGGCTGGACAGTGGACTGCAGGTCCCCAGTAATGGGGAGCACAGAGTGTGGCATGACCAGAGGGGTGTGTCCTGAAGAGAATGCTGCGGTCCTTAGAGTGATGTGGGTCCTGGAGCAGAAGTGACGGCAGCAAGACATCACCAGAAGAAGGCACCCTGGCTAACAGCTAATCCCTGGGACAGCCAGCAGGAGGTGCTAGTGTTGTGAGTCAAACCCCGTCACACACCCTTTTTAGGCTCCCGGCTCCTCAGGTATAACCTCTCCTGGGCAGAGACCCACATCCCCTGATTGGGATTTTTTGAGTCTGCTCAGTTCCCTGCCTACACTGTGATATCTCCAGCAAGCCAGAGTGTGTAAATAGGCTGGTGTCTGTGGTTTGCTTTCCCTCTGAAGGCTCTGAACAGCTGTAATTGCCAGCAGTCACAAGTTACTACACGTATTTATTCTTAAAGTGAAAGCATCAGAGAGAAAACATTAAAACAATAAAAGAACCTACACACATGCTAAAAAGCTTACCAGAGGTCATCCCAATTCCAACCTTGGTCTCTGGTAGTTTTATGTCCTCCAAAACCCACAGCTGGGCTTTTCCTGTGGTTATGAGTTCATAACTATCTCAGATTCAGAACCAGAACCAACATGAATAATGCAGTCTTTACTTTCTACAGCTTGGGCCTGTGATCTTGGCTTCATGTAATAGGTGACAAGCAGACAAAGGTCCACTCCTCAGGGCTTAGCTTGAAAAGGTGATTTTCTTGAATATTTCACAGGAAATCCACTTCACATGTATTGTCCCAAAAGTCCATTCTTGTCTGGCACATTGTTCAACATAATCATTTGATCACCCAGGCCTTCCATCACATTTCCCTCCTACAGAAGTTACACACAATCCTGGCCCACAATAACCCATACACTTTGCATTAAGTACAAAGAACCCCAAAGATACTTAAATTTAATTCAATAGGATTTCAAAGATATTGCAAGAAACTGCCATATCTGTCACAATTGGTTTCACCAGCAGAATGTTACAAACAATACTTAGCACCAATAAACCTTTAAAAGCTTTAACTCAGAACTAAAATAGTTCTGGCATATACTTGTGGCATTTAAACAGTACAGGATGGTGTGATCTAAAAGTTTTATTGGTCTGGGATAACTTACATAAATCACTAGTGACTTCACCACTTGTGAGTAACGTGGCTCTCCCAGACACACGTCAAAAACCTTTGTAAAAAGAAAAGGAGTACTTGTGGCACCTTAGAGACTAACCAATTTATTTGAGCATGAGCTTTCGTGAGCTACAGCTCACTTCATCAGATGCATACCGTGGAAACTGCAGCAGACTTTATATATACACAGAGAATATGAAACAATACCTCCTCCCACCCCACTGTCCTGCTGGTAATAGCTTATCTAACGTGATCAACAGGTGGGCCATTTCCAGCACAAATCCAGGTTTTCTCACCCTCCACCCCCCCCACACAAATTCACTCTCCTGCTGGTGCTAGCCCATCCAAAGTGACAACTCTTTACATAATCAAGTCGGGCTATTTCCTGCATAGATCCAGGTTTTCTCACATCCCCCCCACCCCCATACACACACAAACTCACTCTCCTGCTGGTAATAGCTCATCTAAACTGATCACTCTCCAAGTTTAAATCCAAGTTAAACCAGAGCATCGGTTAAACCAGACATCGTACCAAAAGGACTGAAGGTAAAATGGATCTATGCAGGAAATAGCCCGACTTGATTATGTAAAGAGTTGTCACTTTGGATGGGCTAGCACCAGCAGGAGAGTGAATTTGTGTGGGGGGGTGGAGGGTGAGAAAACCTGGCTTTGTGCTGGAAATGGCCCACCTGTTGATCACTTTAGATAAGCTATTACCAGCAGGACAGTGGGGTGGGAGGAGGTATTGTTTCATATTCTCTGTGTATATATAAAGTCTGCTGCAGTTTCCACGGTATGCATCTGATGAAGTGAGCTGTAGCTCACGAAAGCTCATGCTCAAATAAATTGGTTAGTCTCTAAGGTGCCACAAGTACTCCTTTTCTTTTTGCGAATACAGACTAACACGGCTGTTCCTCAAAAACCTTTGTAACACTCACCCATGTATTCTCTCTATCTTCCGCACATGCACCTAGCAGTCTAGTTAATGGCAGCACAAAGTTATTTGGGGATCAGAGTGGAGGCTGTGGGAGATGAGTTTCTAGACTATACAGAGTTTCTTACCTTGTTTGGAAATGGAAACTTGCTCTGTTCCACTTTTCCAGGTGTGTGAATAGCTGAGAGTGGTGGAGGCCAGGAATGGGTCATCTCCTGGAAAATAATATTGTACAATAAACTATATTTAAAAAGACAATATAATATGAGGCAATGATGATGACATACTAGTAGTAGATTTCTGGATAGTAGCATATATATGGAACTTTCTGCAGATATATTTTCATAATTTCTAGGATACATTTAGTTTATATATAATCTAGTCAATAAACGAGTTACATTATTTATCACAGATTGTTGGGAGCATTTTTTAAAATGAGTGATTTTTTTTTAATGGTTAATGTTTTTTGAGTGCAAGAAGTTTGATTTTCTGATTAACTGCACCCCAAGCTTCACTCATGCAATGTATTATGTGAATGGCCGAGAACACACACAAGTTGGTGAGAATAAGAGAAACACAAAATGGATTATTTCCTTACATGTAATAAAAGGAACAGAAATTTCAGTTCATGACCAAGTAATTAAGTATGGAATATGGACTAATCATAACATGGATCCTACTATCAGGGTTTGGATAATAAAGGCTGGAAGCTGAACTTGGTAATAGATTAATAGATTCCAAGGCCAGAAGAGACCATTGTGATCATCTAGTCTGACCTCCTGCATAACACAGGCCATAGAACTTCCCCAAAATAATTCCTACAGTATATCTTTTAGAAATAATATTCAATTTTGATTTAAAAATTGCCAGTGATGGAGAATCCACCATGACCCTTGGTAAATTGTTCCCATGGTTAACTACTCTCACTGTTAAAAATTTTATGTCTTATTTCTAGTCTGAATTTGTCTAGCTTCAACTTCCAGCCATTGGATCATATTATACCTTTTTGCGCTAGACTGAATATATAATATTTGTTTCCCTTGTAGGCACTTGTTGACTGTATTGAAGTCATGCCTTTACTTTCTCTTTGTTAAGCTAAATAGACTCAAGAAGCTCAATCTAACACTATAAGGCATATTTTCTAATCCTTTAATCATTCTCATGGATCTTCTCTGAACCTCTCCTGTGTATCAATGTCTTTCTTGAATTGTTGCACCAGAACTGGGCACTGTATTCCAGAGTGGTCATAGAAGTGCCAAACACAGAGGTAAAATAACCTCTCTACTCCTACTTGAGATTCTTCTGTTTATGCATCTAAGGATAGCACTGGTCCTTTTGGCCACGACATCGCACTGGGAGCCCATGTTTAGCAGATGATCTACCACTGCCCTGAAAGTGTCTTTCAGAGTCATTGCTTTTCATGAAGAGTCCCCCATCCTGTCAGTGCAGCCTACATTCTTTGTTCTTAGATGTACACATTTACATAGAGCTCTATTAAAACACATTATATCTGCTTGTGCCTCACTTACCAGGTGATCTAGATCACTCTGTATCAGTAACTCTGAAATGTTTGTAACTCTGAACAAAACGTTATGGTTGTTCTTTCAAAAGTTTACAACTGAACATTGACTTAATACAACTTTGAAACTTTACTATGCAGAAGAAATATGCTGCTTTGCCTTTATTTTGTTTTTAGTAGTTTACGTTTAACACAGTACTGTACTGTATTTGTTTTTTTGTTTTTTGGGGGTCGGGGGGGTCTCTACTAATGCCTGAATGCATACTTCCAGTTCAAAATGAGGTGTGTGGTTGACCAGTCAGTTCGTAACTCTGGTGTTTGTAACTCTGAGATTCTGCTGTACCTGCAATTACCATTTTACTTCAGTGGGAATTGAATATGCTCATAGTCTCCTGCTGTTCAGTGCCCTATCAGTCCCTTAAACAAGGAGTTCTCCGCTCAGCTTTTTGTCCTCTCCCTGCATTTACTGAATTAGTTATTTGGTTTTAGCAAGGAGATATGTTTACCTTCTCTTGGCTGCATACAGTATTTTAAGAGCAACTTCAAGGTAAGCAATTCCTTCATAGTCTAAGCCTGAGCAACTTAGCCTTCAAAGGGTGGTTCAAGGCTGCTCTTTTTGGCACAAAATAATATTTTCACTTGAAAAAGGAAGTGTGAACAACTTGTGCATTCTTGTTCAACAACAATGGAATAGAGCATTGGGCATTTCATGGCCTGCCTTAATAATTCTTTCTCAGAACAAAGTCTCTGAGTGTTCTGCCAATGAAGTAATCTATTTGACTAACCATTCCAAGATGGTTTATGAGTTATAAATGTCACCTTCAAAATGTTCTTGATAAACAGTTTATTTTCTAATAAAAAACTGCATTCTTTTGTGTTATTTGAAGCTAAAAATCTTAAGTGATTTATTATACCTGTGTACACTCTGTGGTGCCTCTAATCAGAGCATCATCTGGTTTGAAGTTTCACTATCAGAATTGCTTTGCTTTTCAGTTCTTTCGGGCAGATTGATCATCTTATGACTCTCTTATCAGATAAGTGCCACCAACAGCAATACATAGTAATTTTTATTATACAGTAAATCCTTTAAACACAGACAACCAATCACCGTATAGTTTGCTATACAGAAGAACTATTTCTTATTGCTATGAGTGCCTGACACAGAGAATAATTTTCAAAACATCAATTAATTACATTTTGAAAAAAAAATTCTTACAGTAATGGTTTATTATTATTATATATTTACAGAATGGAGATTTGTAGTATGTTCTCTAGCCCTATGGCTGTGTGACCTAAACACTAAAAAATTTTCCAGGCTATGCCCTGTTGGGACCGCTATCTCATGCTGTTGCATCTCATAATTAAATTACTTACATTTTAAAAGTTGGGGTTTTTTGCTTACCACACCCATTTTCATTTATGAATGAAAGATATGTGTGTTTCCTCCAGTGGATGAAGTCCAGACCCCAAAGAAACCATGGGTTTATCTGTTCAGAGGGAGACAGCTCAAAAATATAGCCAGAATCTAACTATGGCGCCTTATTTGTTTAAGGGAGGAATGTTTTACTTCAGCTCTTGTAATTGTGGAACCGGCATGCAGATAGGAAGCATTGCTGGTAACTTTACCCTAAATATACGACATTTCTAGAGATATGCTTCTCCGCCCTTAAGATTTCCGTTTGTCTAAGAGCCAGGTCCCCTGGGTTATATAATTGCTGAATTCTCAGTCTCACCTTGACAGAAACATTTTCTAAGAAGTCTGCTATTCGGTGTACAAAAACCAATCTGTTACAGCAAGATATCTTTGTCCTCCCACCTTGCCTTCTTAGATCTGGCAATGAAACCTCTATCCATAGAAAGCATAAGAGTGCTGATTAAAAGTGAGGATGACCTTTTCTGACATGTTAAAATCTTTCATATTTTTTTCCAGGATTATTTCTCATCCACATTTAGACAAAAAATGGTTTTAATGGTCTTTTTCTACTAGTTTCTCTACTACTCACTTTGTGCTTTGGTGTATAATTTTAATTTGATGTAACCCATTGTAACAGACTTCATAGGAGCACTGATTTTACTGGGGTACTCATCTTTCTCATACGCCTCCAAATTTGCCGTTACTGAACTGATATTTTAAATTGGGATTACATGATATATTTTTTGTCTAAATTTGAATGTCAAATTATGGGAAATTAAAAATAATTAATAAAATATAAGTACAAAACTGTTATGAAAAATCAATCCTCTGTATCATAAGCACTATGCCACGAAGTAGTAACACATTCTGAAAGCTGATGGCTCAGAAATGGCTAAAGGAAATTTTGTAAAACCAAAACTTTATGCAATATGCACAGTCTCCTTAATACTGTTGGAGAACACCAAGCAATAAATCTTGAAAACAGGAATAAATATTTAGGTGTACTACAACATTTCAAATGTTGCACGGTCGATGTCAAATAAATATAGAAAATAAACTCTTGTGAATTTTGTCACAGTTTATGGCCACTGCACCTGTATGTCCCTGTCGTTGGGGTCCACAAGGCATCCACTCTAGACTCCCAGCTCCTCAGCTGTCACCTCTCTTGGGTGGAGATGTGTGTCTCTCTCCCTCCTAATCAGGGTTTTTCCAGACTGCACAGCTCCCTACCTACACGGTCAGTTTCTCAGCAAGTCAGACTGCCTGAGCAGGCTTCCTTCGCTTTCTCCTCAGAGGCTATAAACAGTGTAATTGCCCATAGTTAAGTTACCACACAACTGTTTCTAAGCAAGCACATTTATTCTTAAGGTGAAAGCACAATAGAAAAAACATATTAAAGGAACAGAAGAACCTACATGTATGTTAGTAAAGTTACCAGAGATCACCCATCAGTGTTATGGGGCCTCAGGACGCCAAAGTCCTTCCAACCTTTGGGGCACCCCTAAGAGAGAAGGTCCTGTCCATTTGCTGAAGCAGAAAGAAGGCCCTAATTCAGTTTAAATTCAGGCTATTTATCCAAAAGTTCTTTCTTTGTCCGTTGGGCTCTGGAGAATTGAGTCTGAACTAATATATGAGAGCCTCCCCAGGTGCTGGTACCGCTCTGGAAGTATACTCAACCTGAATTTGCCTGCCTCCAGCCCCCACTCTTAATTCCTGGAGGGGCTGTGGTTACCCTCCCTCATAGGATTACATTCAATCCTTGGCCCACGGTGACACCAACTTAATACGGTACGATCTCTTGAAGAGATTGCAGAAAATTGCCAGATCTGTCAGCAGTCTGGGACAAGTCTCATGATATTTGGTGTATTTGATAAAACAGCTCCTGTAGTAAAGTTAATATGTGAGAATATCACTTTCCTTTAAAAAGAAAAATGAAAGTTTCTAGCCCTGAAAACATGAACCCCCAAAGGCTCAAAAACCAGAAGGCAAATAAAAAGAACCCAACATTTATTTTAAAAAAATTTCAAGTTTATAAGGCGAATCTTATTTTGGGGGAGTGGGAGGACACTTTACTCATGATTTTGAATGCCTGGGGTTAAATGTATAGATATACATAATATGCAGGCCTGAAAGCAATATTTCAAATTTACTGTTTTGAACTGTTAATAAATAATATGTAATTCAGGTGCTATAATATTTAAAGTGCTGTTAAGTGTACTTGTTGCTGTGGAAGACTGTCCACAGAAGGTAGGACAAGAAGTTATCTTAATCTACAGAACAGT